TTACTTGTGCTCTTCTAATTTCATGCTCTAGACATTATTTGTTTCTTCAACACTCTGTAATAAATCTTTGTATTTAAGTTTCGTATTTTCTCTTCTTTTTCTTCCCCCTTCACTAATATCTAATGTTGTTTTTAACCATGTTTCCTGAACACAAATAATTTCTGGTTGTTCTACAAGACCATCAACATAACCTTTAAGTTCCTGTCTGTTAGCAATTAAACTTCTTGCATTCCATTGTAATATTAACATGTACTATTTTCATCTGATGGTCCTGGTCTCCCATCTACCTCCAACGTTTTGTTTATGTTCTCCCATGACTCTTCTTTAAACCCCAAAAACTTTTCAGCTCCTCTTACTGTTATTTTTTTTATCTTTTCAGTGTTGTGCTTGGCTTGGCCAGTGCAGTTGATAACATATGCTATGAATAATATTAGTTTTTCTATTGATATTGTGAAATGTTCTTCGGACTGTGGAGTTTGACTTGCAGTTGTTCAGTCTTTCTTGTTTTCTGTTCCTTCACATTTTTAACTGCTTCTGCATAGCTTATGTTTTTAGTAATTTTAATCTGTATGATTTCTTTTGCCTTCTTCCTTACTTCACATCCTCCATACGTAACTCTATGTTTCTCTCCACAGTTAAAACATTTTTCTTGTGCTTCTTTACATTCTTCTAATTTGTGATCTTTACCACATTTTGGACATCTCCGCGTACCTTTACCGACCTCTGCTATGTGTCCATACCTCTGACATTTGAAACACCGAAGTGGTAGAGGTACATAAGGCCTGACCTAAAAACTGAGATGACCTATTTTGATGTATTTTGGCAACTCTTTTTCTTCAAATTCAATGAAGATTGACAAACTTCCTACCTTTTCTCCATTCATTGTTTTTGAGAATCTTTTCAAGTTATTCACTTTTGCACCCACAATACTTCTCTTAATTTTATCAAGATCTTCAGAGGGATCCCATAAATCACTTTTTTTTTTCTCCCATGATTTTTTTCTCCAACACAGTTTTTTTTGCAAATATTATCCACATTTAAAGCCTTATTCTTTTGTTCTTTGTTTTTACAAACTACCAATAGGTTTCCATCTCTCAAAATCTTTATCATTTCAACATCTCCAATTTTCTTTTTTATTTCTCTTGACACCACAATGGGGCTGATGTTATCTTGTTCTTCCTCGTTCTTAAATTTTAATATTATTTTAAATTCCTCCCTCACAACTTTCCTCCTAACTGTCCTTTCTTCTTCTGAGCTACTTCCTTCCAGTTCCCGTTTACTACCTTGAGTATCACCAATTCCCTTTCCTTCATCTGTTTTATTTCTTCCACGTCCTCTCCCTCTCCCCACTGGCGTCCACCCTTCAAAATCCATGTCTTCCTCATGTCCTATCTCCATTTCCATCTGAACCATTCACATACCAGTTTATGCTCAAATCTGCCTTTTCCAAATGCGATATATTTCTATGTTTTTGTTTTTCCCGCACCGCTCCAACAAACCAACTCGAAAAAAACCTAAAACGAGATAGGAATCTGACAAATAAATTATCTCCACTTGCTGCTTTTGGGCGTCTTAAAACAGGTGTGGAGGAAGCATTAAGGCTCTATGACTTATAGGGGGTGATTAGTGCCAGTGTGAGTTAACAGAGTTTCAGGTTCAACAGATAGTATGGAGGCAGACCATAAAGCAGATTGTAGAAGATCTACTCAGTCTTGTTCTGAAGAATTATGGTGTGGAGAGATTTGATGTCATCAACATTCAGAGAACGTGTTTTTGTAGAGCATGAACGATACAAGGATCAAATTCCTGGTCAAATTCCTTTTCAGATGTATATTTCTTCTTTCTTTCCAGTTTCTTTTCTTTTTCTCCTGCCCTTACTCAGGGCCACAACAGTGAGGGCTACACTATCAATGGAGACAGACATTAACCGGCTGGAGTGAGACCTGACAATGGAGAAAGCTTATGTTGTCCAGTAATGGACTGGGTCACGCTTCACCATTGACTGCTGTGAAGGATCACCACCACCCCAGGCAACCATAATGGTCTTAGTGGGAATTCCTCTATCTACTTATTAGCCTTTTTTAATTTCTAAAAGCACTCCTCTGGGCCCCCAATTGAGTACAGTGCTCCAGGTTCGGAAGCACCTCTCATATATCTCCACTGTCCTCTGTCATTACTCGCCCGTCATACATTCCTGCTGCAGTTTCTCACCAGTAATCCAATCACTTGTCTCAACAGCGCACCACAGTGGGCAGGTCTGGTCTCCGCCTCCCTGCACGTTCCTGAGACTACACCACGCCGTGCTTCTCTTCCACTCAGCACTTTCTGAAGCTCCAGCGATGTTTTCCTGCAGAGCGGCCTGGCAGAGGTGTGGGCCTCTGGCTCGGAGAGCGGCCTACAGGCTGCCCCTGGACGGTGAGTTTACAGAGTAGCTCTGGATGTCTGTCTTCTCTCCACAGTGTGGGTCTGTGATGTAATGTCTGCTCTCTGTTGTAACAGACGTGATAGGACACGCTGTCCTCATGCGAATGTCAATACCTGGGTAAAAATCAATGACTCAGGATGTTACATGACTGTCAGAATGGAATTTTGGCTTAAGTTTAATTGTCGCTTTGTAGTTTCTAGAATAATTTGACTCCGTTGTGGAATGTTGACTGAAAATTTAAGTGTCTCCCCATGTGACATGACAATACTGGTCATTTCCACTGTTTGTAATTAATACTTCAACGTTAGAGCGTGGCCATGTTTCACGGAGCAGCACAAAGTCGGTGTTTTAACAGCCTTTTACCAGATGTTTTTGTCGGACTAGGAGCTAGCATGGCCTGTATGGGAACCATAGTGACCTCTGCCGAGCGTCACTGACGGACTGCGAGTTCAGTGCGCAGTCTCTTAAAAAATGACCTTCATGAATGTGTGGGTAAACGTGGAAACATGGTTGCCGCTGTCAGTCACGTGGCGTGCGCGTGTGACGGTGGACAAATGTAGAGAGAGAGAGAGAATACTGAGGCACGAGTCGGAGCAGTGCAGCTCGCGCTGCTAGAGGAAGGTCAGCGTGTGACATCAGCTCTGCTTTAAATGCTTCATTATGACCTACTACAACCAGCCAAAAATACCGCCATCAGCGTTTGCGTGTCTACGTGACGTATTTCACGAAGCCCCTCACTCACCCATTCACTGGGTTCAAAACTGCATTTAGGGTGACAGGTCCTTCTAAATATATCCAATCATTTTCCAAACACTGCAAGATAAAACTAGACAGAAAATGACAACCCTTAAAAACATGGCAGCTAGAGAAGTTTTATTTTGGAAATATTAACTGGTAAAGCTCTCAGAGTGACTCCTGGGCTGTAACTTCTTCAGCTCCTTTCTCTAATGTCCTCTCACTTAAACAGAGGAGGGTGTAACATACAAATCCAATGACTTTCTGACCTGCGTACCCTACAGTGTTTAAAAATGTTCTCCCAATGTCCTTCTACTTTTATAGACCGGAGCTGATTAGAAAGTATAAATAACAGGTTTGGGAGGTCATTTGCCAGCATGTAGGATTAGCTCCGGATAAGTGAACAGGTTAATACCCTTAACGCTGGACAGGACCAGGTTCCTCAGACCTTGGCTTCTACTGCAGCAGCTGGTTAATGATTTGACAGCGTGAGCCCCATAGAACATTGAGACAGGGGAGTGAGCTCTTTATCTTGGCCTCGTTTGTGTACATTTTGCACAATATATACATACTGTGAAAAAGGTTAACATGAACCTTAACTCCTTCTTGCTTATCTTCCAATGATCCTCTTGGGGTTAGGTCAGTTTTCTTTTGTACTTTGGACATGTTTTGTTTTTTTTCTACCCAATCTTTTTCATATTTAACTCTTTATATGTGTGTTTGTTTTTATTTTGGATAATGAAGTACGGGAAAAAAAAGGAGAAAGGAAGCATTGAGCCCAGTAATATTTATTTACTATATGGCCAGGAGTGGACGATATGGACTTAGATTATGTTTATCATGATGTTTTATGATACTGTTGTGAAAATAATAAAAATTATGACAAAATAATTATTTATTACTTATTTTTATGTAACTGTAAAACTGTGACTGTCATCTGTTTCTCTATCGTATGCCAGGTTTTCAGTTTCTCTCTTTGGGAATAACGTTGGTACAGCAAGGGATGGAAATGTAAAGAAAATCAAAAAGAGAATAAATGTGACGTTAAAACACACGGGAGTCACTAAAACAGTTCCTCTCATCTTCTCTCAAGAAGAAAAGATGGTAAATATCTGCATACTCTCCAGGACACAAATCCAATACTCCAAATAAAAAATATAGAAAATAAAGGCTATTTATTCTGATTGTTCAACTGGTTGTTCAGCATTTACTCATTCACGGCTGCCTCCTCTTTGGTAGAGTTCTGCCAATAAATGCTGATTTCTAGGTTAGTTTTGGAAGACTGAGACGACTCAGTAATTCCATCAGGAAATGAAATGCTGAGTCATACTTAAGGTGAAGCTTCTGGACAGCCATGTCTTGTTATTTCTTTACAAGACAGTGGGAAATGATCCTTTCCCTTGGTGTATTAGAGTTAGTTGAGCCCTTTAAATCCGTTTCACATTAACAGAGCTGCAGCTTAGCGCTCAACCACACATTATTCCTGCCCTGCAGGAGCTTTGCAGAGCCACCAGTCAGCAGGAACCTGACATGGGTGGAGGAGGGGTGCCACAGCCTTTTGGGCTCAAAGAGAACCAAATTCAGTGAATTATCTAACGTGCCCATGGTTTCCTGTGCAGGTGTGCAGCGGCGGCCCATGTCGTCAGTTCCTGGAGGCTCTGGACAGAACATCCTGTACACGGTGCTGTGTGGTGGAGCTCTGGTCGGCGCTCTGTCATATGTAAGTTCTACTGTCCATCAGAGGTTTGTCAGACAGTTGAATTAGAGATGTGAGAGATGTGTGTTGTGGACTTGGAGAAGGCGTTCGACCGTGTCCCTCGGGGGGCCCTGTGGAGGGTTCTCCGGGAGTATGGGGTACCGGGCCCTTTGATACGGGCTGTCAGGTCCCTGTATGACCGGTGTCAGAGTCTGGTCCACATTGCCAGCAGTAAGTCAGGTCGTTTCCGGTGAAAGTTGGACTCCGCCAAAGCTGCCCTTTGTCACCGATTCTGTTCATTACTTTCATGGACAGAATTTCTACAACCCCTGGCAAAAAGTATGGAATCACCAGTCTTGGATGAGCACTCATTCAGACATTTCATGCTGTAAAACAAACTCAGATCAAAAACATGATACAATATTAAGGTCGTTCCAAAGTGCAACTT